ATTGCGGGGGTTTGGGTGAGAAAGGAAAGAGATGGATGAGCGTTATATATAGGGAGGGAGGGACATGGGGCGATTTATGAGGGAGAATGAGATTATGTAATATGTAATTATTATTGGAAAAGTTAATCGACATGTGATAACTGGCTATTGTCTTTTGAATTCCGTCACGTGTTTCTTGAGGGGAATAGCGAAATTGTGGGCGGGGGTAGGATGGAGATTTTGAAGGATAATTACGTACTTGCTGATGCTGCGGAAATAAAAAACGGCGAGTACGGCTGGCCGACAACGATACAGTGAGATCTCTTTTTTTTTTTCACCACTACCTATTGGTTTCTTTATGAGATTTGGGGTGTGCTTGGATATATAAAACAAAAATAATTTTCATTTATAATATAGTATTCAGAATAGCTCGGTGAATCGACTAAAGCAGTGAGCTCGGTCATGATCGATTCAAGGAGTTATGCCTGTTTTCAATATATATTACCTGCCAGGAAGCTTGTTTAAGCAACTCAAGATACAGGTAGGTCCCTTCCGGGCATTGCAGGTCATCGGAGCTCTGATGATTGTTCATGAGATCGTGCTTTCAGTTCGGTTTAAGACAATTTGAACATTAACTTACATTTTTTTTTCGAAATGACAATTATATTAATAACTAGAAAACTCAATAAAAGGAGTGTCATCTAATACCAAAGGAACCAAAAAACATGAACTTACTCCCCTTAGAACAAAATAACTATCTAAAGTGGTACAACCTTCATCAAAGAGACAAATTTAACTTAAATTTAACTCAACTATCTATCCTCAATATTATTAATATAATTAAATTATATAAATAAATTATTTTCAGTACGCAGTCGTCTATTTGTTAGGCAGGCGACTTGAACATAGTTTCTTTGACCCAGCAAAAGGGGGATTTCTTAGGTCGGATAAGGCCGTGTAATTAATACGGGCTGATATCATTAACAGTGCTAACCTTGGTATGAAAGTTATGCATGAACGTAATTCAAATCAATTAATTATTTTGTTTTAAATATTATTTTAATACAAATTTAACATCACACTCAAACATAACCAAACAAACTTTTTTAAAATTAACTAAGGTTAACCAAAAATTCCAATCGACCAAAATATTCAATCACAAACTTATATTCAAACACACCCTTGGTGTTTTAGGATAAGTATTGATTTAATTTAGTCAAAAAGTTAGGTTTGGAAAGAATTATTAGATGAGATTTTTGTAATAAAAGGTTACAATCTTAATTAGATTTATATGTATTATTTATCAAATATTTCATTTTAGGATAAGTATTGATTTAAAATATTTTTTTTAGTCAAAATGTTAAGTTTGTTAAGAATTATTCGATGAGAATTTTTCAATAAAAGGTTGCAATATTAATTATATTTATCTATATTATTTAAAGAAATTCTATAGGTACATAATATTNAAAAAAAAAAATCAAGTGGACTCTACTTCATGTGAGTGTTATTTACACCATGTACATTTATTATGTATTTGTAGTATTTTTTAAAAATAAAAAATTAAATTGACTCATTCCATGTGAGTGTTATGTACACCTCTATGTACATTTATTATCATGTAATTTTAGTATTTTTCAATATTAAATAACATTTGGGAAATAGAAACGTGAAGAAATGAGATATAATTTCACGTGCGCTATCCGTTAAAGGTGTCACTTCAAACCAAATTGTAGTCGACTTCAAAATGGCACGTGGATCCAGCCTTTCAGCCAGGCAAGCAATCTCCCTAAACTACGGCATCTACATTTTTTATTCTGCTTGTATAGTAAACAATAAAAAAATCATAATATAAATAAAAAGGGATATATAAGTTTTATATATATGTGATTTTTTTGTGAAGAGAGGACTAAAAAATATTTATAAATTTTATATATATTTACTATTATAGGTATTGAGCATTAAATATAGATACTAGTTTGCAACCAAAAGTATTAATGAAGTGATAGAAATAATATTTATTGTATACTAAACTTAATGTATCTGAGATTAACAACTTAAAATGTACTAAGTCTATTAATATTTCTGTTAAATAAATTATCGTTTTGAAATCAATAATGTTTAATCACTTACAATAAATTCATAATAAATACCTATATTATAAATAAATTTAATATAAATATTATTTAATGTTGTGATTTTCATTTTACATTATATATAAATCCATTAACTTTTAGTTATTTACAAACATTTTAATTAGTGGAATCTGCCAATCAAAATAGTTAATATAAACTATTATCACATATCTACTGATATAATAAGTTACTAGTACAATATTCATGTACTACACGGGTACTTGTTAAGAAAATTAATTTTTGAATATTTTTTTAAAAAATAACAACAATTGTTTTAGTTTTTAAATATTTTTTTGAAAAATATATTATTATTTGTATTTAAATTGACATCATCACATACATGACTTACCATCTTATATTATATATTTTTTGTAATTCATATCAGATAACTACTTTGTAGTTAAGTTAATTTAAATAATTATATTTTTTAAATTAATATTAATAGATAATTTAATTTTAATTATAAATATAAATAAAATTATAAAATATTTTATATGAATAATATAGATGTCAAATCAAAGTTCATTAAGACATGATTAATTATATATACTATATATAAAAATTTTATATATATGTTGAGAGATTCCAAAACAAATTTTTAGGGTTATATTAGTCATATAAACAACAGTAAAGTAAGTTTACAAAATGAATTAATGGTTATTTTAGTCAAAGTATTATGGAATTATCCAAGTTAGCTTTTCAATATTTATGGAATGTCCGAACTTAAAATTAATTATTGATTTAAAATAACATTATTTTTTATCCAATCCAAATTACGAAGCATGATTTTCCGCCAAGTAAGATTTCGAAGCGCGCGAGCCTGCCATTTAGGCTCAGCGCATTCTGGAGTTATATATAAGAGGGAGGAGGGATAACCTGTTAGCTATTTGCTAACCGCTAATATTCAAATTCATAAAAGTCGATATTTGACCAAAAAAAAAAAATAATAAAACAGATTAAATAGAAAAAATAGAAGGAGAATTTCAGTCCACAACTAGTGAAATGAGAACCAAAATAAAAATGACAACACCGAAATTAAGCTTTAGTTTTTCCAAAAAAAATATTAATTTGTCATACACAATGAAAGAATATGAATTGTTGGATAAACGTAGATTGCTAAAATTATAAGCACTAATATGTAGTTAGTCTAAAATTGTTTCTCTTTAATGACTATAAAATATCCCAATTTATTTCAAATATAACCCATTCTAATAGTAATTAATATCCCTATAAATTAAAAAAGGAAGAAAAATGGGCATTGTTGGTAGTCCATCAACCTCATAAAAAATCGATCAAGTTTCACAACTAGTAAAAAAGATGATGGTTTCCAGTAACTTAGGTTATTTTCCATTTTAGCCAATAATTTAGGCCGATTCAAAGTTTGTCCAAAAAATTTAACAATGAAGTCAAATTAGTCCAATTATCATCCCGGTCATTGGAATTTGCTGAGGTGGCAAATTTTTGGCGTCAATCATAACTGATGTAAACCAATTTCTGACCGATTAACTAACGTTGTGTCAGGAGTCAGGACCTCTTGCTTATGTTTTGGATTCAGCTTTGGCTTCAGCCGCTAACTCGTATAGGAAAGGTAACCTGACTGACCCGTGAGGGTAAGCAGAGTCATTTGCTTGACCTTCACTCCTTTCCCTATGAACACGGGTATTAAAAAAAGACCTCTTTTGACTTCGTGTCCTCTTAGGACTTAGGAGTTAATCATCACAAAAAGAAAAGTCATAAGTCATATTAGGTCCAAGCCTGGTGTAAGAAGAAGTAAGACAAGCTTTAGATTGGCTTTTCCGGGATTACGGTTTAAAGTTTAAAGGTGTGGACTCCAGAATTTTTCCGTGTCATTTATTTTTTGAATATATCATTTTTTTTTTCCACGTATTTTCTTTAAATATATTTAATAATCCCAAAATTGGGCTCCAAAATTATATAGTCCCAAAATCTAACCATAATCCCAAAATTGCGTCTTTGTTCCCATAATTTAAAACTAAACTCCCGATTTCTCAGTTTCAAACGAAAAATATGGAACGATCTATCCCCAGAAAATGTTATTTGGTTACTAAAAGAAAACCATTTCTTTCGATTAACAATCTTCAAACGAATAAAAGAAAAATTATCTCCAATGCACAATATAATCAAACACAATATTACTCACTTGGCTAAATAAAAAAAAAAATACAAATAAGAAAGCTAAATTAAATAACCAAATAGTTAAAAATAATAATAATAATATTTCTCCCTCATCTTTCTATTGATTAGCTAGAATGTGAAAGAAAATGAACCACATTCTTCTCTATATTGTATACATTATTTAGTCCACCTCATCAATATATTTGTTATCACATTATGCATTGAAGAATTAAAAGTGGATAGATTGCTAAATTTGTAAATGTAGAGTATAATTTACTATAACTACATTTGAACATTGGAGATTAAATGAGTTCCATCACAAACCAAAACCCAATTTGTGATGAAATAATAGCTCACTAAGCTTACAAGCTAAGTTCAGTTTTTCTATTTATTCAATGTGGAACAACTCAGAATAGATACTCCAACAATTCTCAAGAACTATATTTTACTCACCTTCCAAAGTGAATCAAAATACTTCACTCCAAGAACTAAAAAATCAACTAGGACGAATATCTCTTCTCCGCAGGTCAATCGGCTTTAGCACGAAACGGCGGAGATTATATCAGATAGATATTAATGACAAAGGAAAATTGAAACAAATTACATTCTTATTGCTTGTAAGCAGCAGCAGCAACAACAATAATGAAACTGGAAATAAAAATGGCAATAACAAGAAAACGAAAAAGAAAATGCTATACGAGCAAGATCAGCTAATTCGTTTTCAGACCCTTCTTTTTTGCAGGGGATTAAACCGATCTTGACATCTCTTAACCGAGACAAAAAGACAAAACAAGGGAGTTTTATTCGTTTCGTTTAACACAGGGGAAGGCTATTCCAACCTTTCACCATCTCAAGAAATAACTGTTGAGTTTGAGTTTTTTTTTTTTTTTTTTTTTTTTCTATCCAAGTTAAAACCTTTATCATGAAACGGGCGCTACTTACTCACATCAACAAACATCACACATCGAACAATACAAAGGAACTACACATGCTCGAGCTAACAATAACNC